GTGAGCTCCCATCCCTTTCTATACCTGTGTACATGTTCCAGTCTAGTCTGAATTGAGAAGCAGCACTGGGGTCATGGTAGTGGGGGTTGAGGAAGCTTCGAGGAACCAGAGGAATATAGTGTGTCCTATCTATTTTTTTCCCAATATACTTTTTATGAAATCTTCTGCTAAAATTGTCCAGAGTAGATGTTCATTATTTGCAACTAATAATTCTTACTGAAATATGCTGAGATAAAATTAATTATCAGAAAAGGACTAAATCCCAGAACTAGGAAAAAAAAACACACAGGGAGATTTTCTTTAATCTTTTGCCTTCTCTGTGTGTCTGTTTCTTTAGCACCTCTCTATAGTACTGGGAAGCTCCTCCATCCAGAGAAAGTCAATGCTGAGATTAAGGTTGAATTTACATAGCGTTTTCAGAGTGGTGTGGATTGGCAGTTCCTCAATCCCAGTTCAGTATACTCTGATCAATTTTGCTGTGGCAAAGAATGGGGGTGGGAGATAAAAAGCATGATTTTCTGGGGCCTCACAACACTGCAATTATGTGCATTAGGGAGTTCCACTCTAAGAAACCACCACTCACCTGCCAGTTTTTGGTACTGTGGTGACATAAATATGTAGTATGCAGCTGTGATGCTGGAAACAATGTCACTGGTACTTCATACACCAGCAGGGTCTCTCCAGGTAAATAGTTTCCAGCAGCGATTCCAGACTAAGAACAGACTATGAATAAGCCTATCCACTTCTTAGGTATTCACCACCAAAAACCTCATGAATAGCAGTAGAACAGTGACAGTTATGGTGCCAGAAGACGAGCATTTCAGGTTAGAGGATACTAAAAGGTTATAATTCACTGCATCACCAGGGCTCCTCATTCTAGGCCTTGGTGAGCTGAAATGGACTGCTATGTGCCATATTGAATCAGACAGTCATATAAATTACTATGCCGAATATGACAAATTCAAGAGGATTGGCTTCACATTCACTATCAAAATGAACATTTCAATTCTGAGGGCCTGTTTTGCAGAAGGTTATGGGTGACAGTGAGGGCCCAAAATCCATTTGCAGAGTCCCCATGGAGATTAAGCCTCCATTGAATTCCCTTGGACCATTGACCAGGGATGTGAATAGCTTTACCCTCAGACAGAGTGCATCAGAAATCAAATCAATGCAGACATATTAGGTTAAATTTTAACATCTCATTATGCTTTCCCTTTTAACCTATTTTAAATTTGTTCTAGTTTTCATTATTTTCTTCTTTCTTTATGATTTACATTTTCTTTTGTTGTTGTTGTTTTGCATGATTTTCTTTATATGAAATCCAGGATAGGTAAATATGTAGAGACAGTAACATTTTCTTAATTTTAATACTCATTCTTATTAGCTTCTTATTTTCCCCCAGCCTCCCCTGCCATAACTCTAAGAAACTAATATAGATTGTGGGTGATGACTTGCACAAATATTTTTTAATATATCCAAACCATGAAATTATTTTTTTAAAAAGAAAAATCTTAAGATCTCTCTTGAATTGCAATGCTGTCTGTGATAGGATAATATCTATACTCTAACAAAGAATTCAATTTAATACAGGTATTGTTCAAGTTTATATACCAGCGATTAAAGTTAGCGATGAAGAAAGTGAAAAATTCTACCTGACTCTTCAATCTTAAGCTGACCAAACTTGTAATCAGGATGTATTGATTAATTATTGATGATTGGAATGAAAAAGTTGGATACAAAGAGGAAGGAACAGTAGTTGGAAATTTTGGTATTGGTAATATAAAGAAAGCTGAAGATTGCATGATAGAATTTTGCATGATCAATGACTTCTTCATTGCAAATACTTTTTTCAACAAAATAAAAGGTGATTGTACACAGGACCCTGTCAGATGGGATACACAGGAATCAAATTTACCATACCTATGAAAAGAGATGATGGAGAAGCTCAACATAATTGGCCAAAATGAGGGCAGGGGCTGACTGTGGAAGAGACCATAAATTGCTCATATGTAAATTCAGTTTAAACAAGCCCATGAGGGTCAAATCTTATCTTTTGTATATCCCTACTGAATTTCAAGAACATCTCAGAAACGGATTTGATGTATTGATTACTAATGACCCTCAAGACTCACTGAGCTGTGGAAGGACATCAAGGTCATCACACAAAAAGAAAGCAAAAGGTCATAAAAAAGACAGGAAAGAAAGAAAATATCAGCATGGATGTCAGAAGAGACTCTGAAACTTGTTATTGAATGTGGAATAGCTAAAGCAAATGTAAGGAGTAATGAAGCAAAAAGGGGAAGAGAAAATTTCAAAGGGCAGCTTGAGAAGACAAAGTAAAATATTATAATGAAATGTACAAAGAGTTGGAGTTAGAGAGCCAAGAAAGAAAGAACATGCTCAGTGTATCTCAAGTGGAAAGAACTGAAGAAAACTTCAGGGCCTTGAATTGTAATATTGAAGTATCCAAAGCAATCAATAAATCAAATGACATATTGCTTCGGGCAATTTTGTATGGCCCATATTGTATTGCACAATAGCTCTTGACGATGTTGAAGAGCAACTCTTCGAGGACTAAGATGAACCTGACCCAAGCCATATATTTACAATGGCCTCATATGCATGTGAAAGCCGGACAATGTATAAGATGGCCCCAGAAGAATGAAGGCATTTGAATTATGGAACCTGCAAAAAATATCAAAAGTACTGTGGACTGCCAGAAGAACAGACAGAATGTACAGACAGAATACTGTTTGAAAGCTAAGATGGCGAGACTTTGTCTTCTGTATTTTGAACAGGTTCTCAGAAGAGACCACTCTCTGGAAAAGGATATCATGCTTGATAAAATAGAAGTTTAGAAAAAAGAAAAGTAGAAAGAAGTTCAGTGAAAAAGAGGAAAACCCTCAATGAGATGTATTGACACAGTGGCTACAACAATGGGCTCAAACATGACAACAATTTCGAGGATGATATAGTCCTGTCCAGTGTTTCATTCTGGTGTACATAGGGTCAATATGCATCAGAAGGAGTCAACAAAGTGTTGTCTGACTCAAACTGACTAACAATTACCCTCAGAGAAAAGGTTAAGTCATGTGGGTTGGAAAGATGCACCCAAGGTATCTAGAACTCATGAATCACAGCATGCTGGCCTCTCCTTGAGACAACCCCTCTTCAGATGATCTTTTATCTCAAATGGTTTTATGGGCTGAGTCCAGCTTTATAATGTGTTCCAACATTATAGCCTCAGTTCAGGACACAAGAAGCAAAGCGATGTAGCCATTTGCACATCTATGTACACAGAACCAAAAGAGCAAGGTGATAAGGAAATTTTAGCTGGAATTTGTCTCCACCAAGAAGGCTCTAAAGGAGCCCTGGTAAAGTAATGAGTTGTAAGTTGGACTACTACTATGATTGTAAGGTCAGCAGTTTGAATCCACCAGCCCTCCTCCGAATAAAGATGAGGGTTTCTGCTCCCATAAAGATTTACAGCCTCCAAAACCCAAAGGAGCAATTCTATTCTGTCCTATAGGGGCATTAAGGATCAAAATCTACACAGTGGCAGTGAATTTAGAAGATGGTTCCATGCCTAATAACTTCAAGTTTTGTTATGTAATCTTTGTCATCACTGTTTGGTCTTAAGGGACCAAACAAAAGTTAGGGAGACAATTCCTTGCTTCTTGTCCTTAATGAGGCTCATAGGGAATCTGGTCCCTCTGGCCACACAGGCTTCTGTAAATGCCTGATTGGTAGTTTCTCAAGTATCTTTCCTTCACAGAGAATGAAGACCATGAATGCATGCTCCTCACTTGTTCAGAACCTGCTTGTATCTTCAAGACTTTCCCATCGACACAATAAAGAGAAACATTGACCAGTGATGCAGAGGTGAAACACACTTGATAACCACAGACTCAACCTCTCCAAGGTAAGATTATGGCAGAAGCTACATTAATTATTGAAGTTCTTCTAGATCCTGGAGCAATACAAGGCATTCTGCATCCATCAATGAGAAAGAACTTGGGGGTAGAAACTGGTAAATATAAGCAGAGAAATAGTCAGTTAGGCTGTGTATATGCTTATGTTTTCCAATGTTAGATACATGTATATATAATTGATATGCATGTATATGATAAGTGCCAGTTATTCCTGTAGGAATATCATCAGGATTAAGTGTTGGAAACTGGGTATATAGTTGGAAAGGATTGATTTTATCTTTTCAACAATATTAACTGATTTGTGAAAAAAGTGGAACAACCTGGAGTTTGATGTGTCATTATTTAACCATTCATGTCTAGGTTTCTGAATTTGCTGTTGAGCATTCTATGCCCATGAACAGGGCAAACCAGTCTAGTGTCTCTGAGTTCCTCCTCCTGGGCCTCTCCAGGCAGCCCCAGCAGCAGCAGCTCCTCTTCATGCTCTTCCTGAGCATGTACCTGGCCACGGTCCTGGGAAATCTGCTCATCATTCTGGCCATCAGCACAGATTCCCGACTGCACACCCCCATGTACTTCTTTCTCAGCAACTTGTCCTTTGTGGATGTCTGCTTCTCGTCCACCACTGTCCCCAAAATGCTAGCCAACCACATACTTGGGAGTCAGGTCATCTCCTACTCTGGGTGTCTCACACAGATGTATTTTCTTTTTGAGTTGGCTGATATGGACAATTTCCTTCTGGCTGTGATGGCTTATGATCGCTTTGTTGCCGTATGTCACCCCTTGCACTACACAACAAAGATGACACATGGGCTCTGTGCCCTTCTGGTTGTTGGGTCATGGGGCATTGCCAATCTGAATGCTCTGTTGCATACCCTGCTGATGGCTCGACTCTCATTCTGTGCAGACAACAGGATCCCCCACTTCTTCTGTGATGTGGCTGCTCTCCTGAAACTCTCCTGCTCAAACACACACCTCAATGGGATGATGATTCTTACTGAGGGGGCCCTGATAATGATTTCCCCATTTGTTTGCATCTTGGCTTCATATATTCATATCACCTATGCTGTCCTGAAAATTCCATCCACAAAGGGAAAGTGGAAAGCCTTCTCCACCTGTGGCTCCCACCTGGCTGTGGTTTCCCTCTTCTATGGCACCATCATTGCTGTGTATTTCAACCCTTCATCCTCCCACTCAGCTGAGAAGGACACAGCAGCTACTGTGATGTACACGGTGGTGACTCCCATGCTGAACCCTTTCATCTACAGCCTGAGAAACAAGGACATGAAAGGAGCTTTGAGAAAAATGATTGGCAGGAAGACAAGTTCTACCTAATAAAGGAATCATGGAGTATCAATCTCTCAACAGGTATAGAAATCTTGGTCAACTTCCTCTAATGTAGAATTTTATTTGCAAGTGTAGTTTTAAAAAAGCATTTTTTGGGCACATAATTCACAAATCATACAATTCAATAGTTTAATCATATCTAAGTGTCTTTTAAGGAGCCTTAGTGGTGTGGTGGGTTATGAGTTGGGCTTCTAATTGCAAGGTCATTGGCTCAAAGTCACCAGCTGCTTCCTGGGAGAAATATGCGGCTGTTTGCTCTCATCAAGGCTCACACTCCTGGGAACTCTATACATAGCATTATTATAAGTTGGAATTACCTCCATAGCAATGAATTTGATTTGAGTTTTTTTGGGTGGAACTTAGACAGATACTAATCAATGGACAACCAGTTATGGTTACATAATATTTGTTTTTAATGACTATATTATAAAATATTTTAAATAAAGGCTAAACTTTTCCTTTTTAAATGGTCACTTTGAAAAGTGATAACAAACAAATATTTTTTTTTTTACTTCCTTCATGGAAATGTTCTTAGAATCTCTTGGAATACTCTCGCAACAAGAGTTGCTATGTAGAGTTGATTCTGACTCAAAGAGACCCAGTAGGTGAGAGAGAACGGCTACCTGGCATTTGCAAGGTTGTAAATCTCTACTGAAACAGACTGCCACATCTTTATTTTAAAACAAATAAATAATTTTATTTATATAAAATTCACATATGATACAGTTCCATAATTAAGTCGCATTTAAAAAGAGTTGTATAAACATACCAGCATGTACCAGGGAACCTATAGAGAGGTCTGTGGGGCTGGCCTCAATCCTGACTATGTGGAAACTCCTCACCCCCCTCAGAAGAATGCACTTCAGAGGACAGCACTGGAGCTATAACTTGGGGAGAGGGGCGCGTCTTATTAGAGCACACGGGAGAAACGCAAAGGGATGGAGAGGGAGGAGAGGGCATCCTGGCCCACCAAGCCCCAAGGACGATGTTACTGCTTAGAGCAGACAACATATGGGGAGGGCCATAGGGCTGACCCCACCACAGGACACGATGTCTGTCACTGATCCATGACACTGCGGGGACAGCACTGGAGACAGTGCGGGAATAGTG